GGGAGACTCCAACAAAAGCTCGGAGACCAGCTGTGTCAGCTCGGTCAGCACTACTGTGGGTAACAACATGGCATCACATCAAGGCAACATAGCAATGTTGACTGGGGAAAAACACCTTCTCAGCTTATTTCCCCAGTGCCTTTCCAGAATTTCAAGGATTTCACCATCTGTACTGGCTTAAGATTTAAACTTGCAGCAAGCTCTCTTTCTAGACTGTACAGAAACAGGCTACATAACAAAGATACATAAGATGCCAGCTACATCTTTCCCTCCCTTATTTAAAAGTATACAGAGGATGCACTATAAAGATTGGGACCATAGATTGTGCATGGGTAGATGGGTCTTTAGCCTTTTGCGTAGTCTGGATCAGCCTTTCCCACTTGCTTGCTATCTGCATTCCAATTTTTTAAAATTAACTTTAGCAATTCTTCTTTTGAGAATGCAAATTGAAACCTCATAGCCACCATCCAGAATATGCCCACAGTGAAGGGTTAAAGCAATCCATTCTGAAGGGATGCTCCTTCCTTTCATAGGCTCTGTATGATAAGCCTCTTTTTGAAGCAACAGGTACCAAAACTGGTACCAAACACTGCCAGACCATGGCACCAAGGGCTTCATCTTCTGAATGTCTTCTAAGTTACAAGCTTGTCATCTATTAATAATGTCCTCTGATCGTTTGCATTATCAATTTGTTTGAATGCAAGTAAATACATGGGTAGCAACTGGACTTTAAAAGTGCTGACAGAAGCCAATAGGGAGCATTTCAGTCTCCCAGAGTATCCTATAGCCTCATATTTAAACAAAAACATTTAAGACAAAGATCCTAAATAGTACTGGTTGTATTTTTTGAACATATTGCACCACACTCTTAAAATGGGGCTAGTTCGCTTTAACAGCTCTGATAGCCTCCTGTTGCATTTTGGGGTTTGTAGTTCCATGAAGCTTAAAGGCTCACTGGCTGAATATTCTAAATGCCCCTTCCTAAACTACAAGTTCCAGAATGCAACAGGAGGTAGCCAGAGCAGTTAAAACTACTTAACCCCATTTTAAGAGTGTAGAGTGGTACTCTTGTAGATCTTGCTTTACTTTTTCAGAGCTAAGGATAGTATACATAATTCTTCTTACTCATTTTCTCTTTACAGGCATTCTGTGAATTAGTTTAGTCTCCTAGATATCAGTTGGCCTAAAGCATGGGAGTACAAATTGTTTCCTCTATATGTTGTTACATTGCAACTGCTGTATTCCCCATTCAGCATTGCCAAAAATAAGGGGAATTCCAGTAAAATAACATCTGGAGGGCCACAAGTTGCCCATTTCTGGCCTGAAGTCATCAGGTAAGCTCAGAAACTGGGAAATTAATTTTAAAAAATAATTGGTCACAGTTAGAATATGAAGCCTGTTCAATTTAGTTTAGTTTTAGTTACTGCTATTTTAATTTTAAAAGAACTTTACTGTTTCACATAAGTTTTACTATTTAGTGTTTAGTTTAGTTTAGTTTTTGTAAAATCTGAATGTTTTTCATTCAGCAGCATGAGGCAGCGCATGAACTACCATTTGAACTATACAATTACTTCTTATCTGTCATGTAGTGAAGTGACATCCCTACAGCTACAAATTCAATGTTAAAGATACATTGCAAGGCAAACAACGTTATCCTTCCTTAAGTTACAGTTATATAATGTAATCTTGTTATAGCTTTGTTACTGGGAACGGGAATTAAATACCAGTAGTTAGCTGTTTGCAGTTATTTACTTCTTAACTCCATAAACCTCATAACTGAGCAAAGTTTTGAATCCAGCTTTCCCAGAGTCCAGCATGCCTTCAGCCAATTGCCCAGCCTCAGTATTGAATTTTATGACGGGGTGGGTAGTGAGAGAATTTAGGCGATGTTTTCCCACCATTGCTTCCATCTTTGTTGTTGTTGTATACCTTCAAGTCATTTCCAGCTTATGGCAACCCTAAAGCAACCCTGTCAGGTGGCAAGATTTATTCAGAGTGCGTTTGCCTTTGCCTTCTTCTGAAACTGAAAGAGTGTGACTTGTCCGAGGTCACCCAGTGGATTTCCATGGCTGAATAGAGATTCAAACCCTAGTCTCCAGAATTATAGTCCAACATTCAAACCACTACACCATGCTGGCTCTCTCTTTCTTGTCACAATGGTGGAAAAATCTCATTAAAGAAGAAAATAGCTGCACAAGGCTTTTTGACTCGTTGACACTTTCTGAGAGTATCCCTTGTCTCTTGCTTCAAAAATCGGCTTTATGGAATTCATAGTAACTGTCCAGGACTAGCCCCAAACCCTGGGCATGTTCCACTTAGGGCCTTTGCAGACTGCCAGAAATAATGCAAACTGAATCCACTTTAACTGCCCTGACTCAGTGCTAGGGAATCATGGGAACTGTAGTTTATTGTGGCACCAGAGCTCTCTGACAGAGAAGGCTCAATGTCTCAGAAAGAAATACAGTTCCCATGATTACCTAGTACTGAGCCAGGACAGTTAAAGTGGACTCAATTTGCACTATTTCTAGCAGTCTGCAAAGGCCCTTAGTGGAGAAGTATTAGTCCTTGCTGTGCTGTGTTCATTATCACAAGCTCTGAGTAAGAAATGATTGTGCTAGTTGTGTTGGATTTTATCTGGTACCCATTACCTGTTGCTTTTTATTTGGTACTCATAACCTGTTTGATTTTAGCTAGCAACCATAACCTGTTGGATTCAGTAAAATTGGTTGTCTATATATTAAGCACAGTAAGTGTGTGTTCCAACTGTATATATCTGAGCTTCTGGTAAAGAAACAAGATATATAGGTAAGATAAAAATAAGACTTACTTTATTGTTACAAAGAATTCATCTAGCATCTAGGAAAGTAGGCAGTCAGTAGAAAAATCTATACTTTGATAGAGTCTCTAAAGCTGACTCTTATATGTGAAGGTATGAAGAAAAAAACATCCTTTGAGGCACTGCCTTGTGGCTGCATCCATCTCTGCTGAGAACAGGAAGGAAGAAACTAGAGTCATCAAACAACTCTTAACCTTTAGCAGAGAAGAAAGAGGAGGAGATAGGAAGAGACCTCTTTACAGTCACACTGACCACAGGAGCATAGAGATAAACAATACAGACAATAAAGGAAGTTATTGTTCTATTCCCAAATCCATAGAGATAAGCATTGATGTAAAATCTCCACTCCAACAAGTTGGACCTTGCATGCATGTTGTCGAATTTTGTATTCATTTGCATTTTGCACAGTGACACACTTAAAGTGTTCTCCTCTATTGCTTAAGCAACAGAGAACTTTCCTGGACCTTTCATAACAGCATAAATTTTGCTGTGCTTAAAATTTCAACAGGAAACCCCATATACACCTGGAATTTATTTGCAAACTTCTCATTTCAGAGACTACAAGTTGTTAGGTAAGTATAGCTAGTAATAGTTGATATACACTATTTGGTGTACACAGGAGACATTAAATGCTACTTACAATGCTTTGCATATGACCACTTGGGAGTGGAACACACTTAATGTGATCTGTTCTATTATTTTTTTGACTAGATCGTGTGTGTGTGTGTGTGTGTGTGTGTGTGTGTGTGCTCAGTTTAGTGATGTGACAATGAGTGAAAGGTAGCCTTGTTAACTGCAAGAAAAGTTCTAAAACACAAACTAGCATAGAAGTTTGGGGCCAACCCAAAGAACACAAAACCTATGCAAGCTTTTGAGATCACCAGATCTCTTCATCAGGTAAAAGGTTACGAAAGGCAGGGCAGGATTTGAAAATGACCAGATGTTGAAGTCATGGTGCTTTATGCATGTCCTCAGTCTTGAATTGAAACAGGGACGGAGACATTTGCTGACATCAAAATTCGGCTTGAGAAGGTGATGTGATTATTTCCCCCCCAAAAAATTGAACTTGCTATTGTGTAACAAAATTTGCACTGTCTGCACTGGTAGCCTGTGATCCAGGTAGGAGGGGGATACAGTGGTACCTCTACTTACGAAATTAATCCGTTCCACAGCCCATTTCGTAAGTAGAAAATTTCGTATGTTGAAGCAAATTTTACCTTGAAAAGGCCTAATCCGTTCCGCAGTGAGGCCGGGGCCGGCCTTGCTGCTCTATGGGCCTGATCGTCGAAGCAGTCGCTTCGGCGACCAAGCCCATAGAAGAGCCATGCCGGGG